AGCTCCTGACTTCCATGACCAAATCCTTATTTTTCACTAGGTCATGCTGCTGAGCTCCAGATCCATGTTTTCTTATGGGAAACTCCAACAGAATGAACCAAAGTCATCTTGAGTTCAGTAAGTAAAAACCTCATCTCACTATCTTTACCTTCACACCTGCTTTTCCTTTGGGTCCCCAGCTTGGCAAACAACTTCAACATCTGCCCAGTTCCTTAATCCGGCCAGAAATCTGGGAGTCTATTCTAGACACCTTCCTCATTTTTATCCCATACAACTAAAGGTCACCTGCTATACAGTCTCTACACTCTGCCTCTTTACCATCCTCTTGCCTCACATATACACACGATCTTTACATCTATGGTAATTATTAGAAATGAAATTGCTCGTTCAGAGGACACAAACATGTTTTAGACTCTTGGTATATGTTCAAAATTGCTTCCCTGAAAGATGCATTCAACATTCAAAACTATTCATGAAGTACATACTATGTGCCAGGCACTATTATATTGACACAATTGGCAGAATGACTTGAAGGGGGTGATTTGTCTGATCTGTAAAATGTGGGTTGTGCCATTTGCTTCACTACTGTGGAGATGAAGATATACACACAGTATCTGCAGGTACTCAATGGGAGCTTGTCCCTCCACCCACCTTCAGACTTTATCTTCTCTGTAGGTAACTTTGAAAAAAATGGCACATCTTACTCAATTCCATTGCATCTTTCTCTCTCTTCTCTCCTATCTTAGGGCTAAGTGTTTTGAAGCTTGCAGAAGATGCTCCTTACATATCTTTGTAAATCCTGCTATGTGTAGTGCAGCATATTGCTCAGAGAGGGTATTGAACACATATTTATTAAATCAAGGCATGTTTTGTAAACAGGACGCCTAACTCAAAAGTTAGGACCCATCATATTGTTCTGAGTGAAATCTGGAAATAAAGCAGACTCCTGAGGCAGACAGCATAGTAATTCTTTCTAAATAGACAGGAAGCATATTAATACCCAAATTTATTCAAGCGGTCTGAAAAGCTGTCAACCATGGCAAATAAAGTCAACTACTTTTGAAATTAGTCTCTGGAGAGTGGAGCAGAGACCAATCTTGCTTCATTGATCTTGCCTTCATGTCAATTCCACTTAATGTGTGCTTTTAAAAATATATATACGCTGGCATCTTTTAAGTTAAGTGATTTAGAAGACTTCAGTGAGAGAGCAACTGGAGATAAAGCTATTGCATTGTGTTCAATCACTGAGAACACAATGAAAATAAATGTAAATGTATAGAAAAATGAGAGAATAAAATATATTGAGAAGTGACAAAAGAAGAGAAAGGAGGAAACATTTCTAGAAGCACATAAAATACATCAATAGTTCAATTATCAACATTATTTCATATTTCATTTGATCACCCTACACATCAGGGTGCATCTTGGTAACTAAAATCCTTAATTCTATTGCTAGTAAAAGGCAATTTCAACAGAATTTTCAGCAGTTACTTCTATAAAATACATATACAGATATTTGAAATGTAAAATATTCATCCTGTTTGGAAAATAAGGCAGTAGGAAAATAATCTAAAACATAAATAATCAGTAAATATATGCCCATGTATACTTAGTGCTGAGTCAATGTACCCATCTAAGAACACTCTTAAAGCAGAGACTTCTTAATAGTTTTGCTTGGACTACCTCTGTTCCACAATCAATTTAACCACTTAAGAATAACTATCCAATAAACCCCCACTTATCTAAACTAACTTAGAGGAAAACCAATTTGAATTTTGGGAAAATATATATGTTTTAAATAGATTTGGGTTCCAACAAAATAAACACAAGAATTGGAGATCTATGATATTAAATTTGTTCATAGGCTAGGAACATTAGTGACTCTCATACAGTATGCCAAACGTATTCAATAACAATTTATTCTCTGAGTAGATGAGTAGGCCCTACTCTATTCTCATCTACTGAGTTATTTTTCTTAGCAAAATCATTTTCATGGGGAGTACCTAAGCTACAATTAAGTCTGGTTCAGTATAAGTAACATGCAAATTAATTTCACTGGATACAAAGAGGTAGGATTCACCTAAGATGGTGTTTCTTTCCTTTCTGTACTTTCAATCTGTGAGAATTTTATTGCTCAGTGGCTCTATCACTAAACACATATAAGCAAAAGAAAAGTTACATAGAGATTTGGCTCCCTGACAGCCTGGTCTCCTTTTGGTCTGAAAGCCAGTCAGTACCACTTAGACACTGTTCTGCTTCCTGTGATGAGTGGCTTTATTTCTGCCCCTATCATTGGTAATTCAGTTGCAAGATAATCATGATGCTTCAAAGAAGGCTCTGCTTAGTACTGTGACTGTCACTAAATATTTTATAGATGAATAATAATTTAAATAATAATGACGATATTAGCTTTTACCTCAATGAACAGAGTGAGTAAATGCAAAGGCCTGCCGGGTGATAGAAGTTGGTTCTTAATTCACAAAGTCCATTAATTATCTGTGAGCTTAGGCAATACCAAGCTCTTTCTATATTACACTGACTAATCAATCCTTAATCACATCACTGTATTTCAATGTTGGACAACCTCTAATTTACTCTTCTAAGATGAAGATTCTTCCAAAAAGTTAAATTTCATTCATACTTTTGTGGTAATGGCTAACCAGAAAAATTCTTTTAAAATTCTGGTTACATGGAGCCTTTCCAAAAGGAAGAGTTGTTAACCCAAGCTGGGCAGGATACAGTGTGAACATCAGCCAATCACAATCACAGAACAGCTACCATACTAGGTAGCAGGTGCTATGGTAAGATGCTACATTCCTCAAAGGAAGATATTCTTACCCTTATGTTACAGTTAAGGAAACAGATGCCCAGGGAGGTGAAGTAGCTTACCCAAGATTAGCCATGTACTGACTCCAAAGCTCTTACCATCTATGTCAGCATTTGCCAAAGTGGTTCTGTGAGTTACAGTGCTCCAAGGAAAACTCAATTCTATGGCAAAATGACTTTGTGAAATGAGATCTAGCCTTGCTCCTTTATTGCAGAACTTTGGAAAAACTTTAATAAGTTAATGTAAACTGTGAATGAAAAGGAGGTAGGGGTAAGGGCAGGAGAGGTATGGTATGCAGAACATCTTAGTAGGGTAATCAATTCTGCAGAATTTGTGTTCAGAAATGCTACAGTAGACTATACTGACCCCCAAGTTAAAGGAGGAAAAACAAATAAATTCAGGCTGTCCTCATCAATTCAGTAATAGACAAGTCATATAATTACATTAAAAAGGCTTGCTTTATAGAGGCTATGGAACAGCTAGCATGCTCAATGGCAGTTTCAGAATTATCTTTTGTCTCAAGTTGGTGGCTAATTTCAAGGACCAAGAAACTTACTTGTTTCTTGCCTGGAGCTGGATGACAAAGAGAAATGGAGTCAGTGCTGAGAAATACTTTGTAAGCCCATAAACGCAAAAACCTACTTGAAGAACACCTTGGAATTATCGATTGCTGTTGTTACCAAGCGTAGAATGGACCATTCTATTAGGGGTCTTCTTTTGACGTTGTTAAGGTAATGCAGTGGAACACCAGCCTGTTCCCAAGCCACAAGCATGTCTGCCCCAGAGGCTAACTAAAGCTTCAGGAAAAAATGCAATGCCCCCTCCCTGTCCTATAGACAACTATGAGTTCGTGCTCTCCTCTCAATTCATTGTTTCAATATTTTCATTGACAAGGTTCAAACATTTAGTATTTTATTCATGTCTCTTCAAACACTTAAATTCAGGATATGCAGAAAAACTCATGGGTATCTTTAGTATTAACTTCACCTTGGTTCATATGAATAGTTATAGGGCATCAGGGGAATGAATTCAATAATACTTCTTTGGGGTCTGTTTTGTTCAGAGATAATCAGGCTCTCAGAAAACAGGGAACATTTTTCTGAGGTTAAAAACCTAACGTAGCTCTAAATTTGGTAAGATGGATTTTGTTCCCTGTCTTGGGTTATGTTTGCTGACAAACCAGCTATGATCTACAGGTCTCTGTTTTTATTACAGTTGGAAGCTAGGGACTTTTACTCTAAGAACTGTAATTTCAAGTCTTTATATATACAATTTGAAAACTCTGTTCAATATATTGGGGCTCACTACTTACCAGCTGTATGACCTTGAACAGTTCACCCTTTTGTGTTTCAGTTTCCTCACATGTTCTAGGGATTGGTCTAGAATCTCTCTCATGAGGTTGCTGTGAGGAATAAATAAGCTGATGTGCAAGTGGGGCATTTAGAATAGTGTCTGGCCCATAGACACTCAACTTTAGCCATTACTAACGAGATAAACTTGTTATCTGGCACTGGAGAGTCTTTCTGTTAAGCTCTCTACTTAGTTCATCTTTCTTTCCCTACTCTCATCACCATGAACATTCTTGAAGGAGTCTGCTTCTACTGTTACTCTCATATGCCACAATTTTTTGAACTTCCAGTGGACTATCCTACCCCATGTTAACAACACTGTTCTTTCAAACTCACCAATGACCTATCAAATCCACTGCCTATTTTAAGTTTCCTCCACTTAGCCATGGGACCACAAATTGAAGGCCACATAATTACTTCTGAAGGCCGTTCTTTCTCTTGGCTTTGGCTTCTAAAACACTATTTCTTGATCCACACCCCCCCACCTCACCACTGCCCCAATCACTTTGATTCTTCCTTCATTCCTTTCCTGATTAGAGATACAAAATCAGACAGGAGGCTTGAGCCTGACTTTGCCAAATACCAACTATGTGGCCTGAGATAAGTTAATTTCCATTAGCCTATGCTTTCCCACTGGTTTAATGTCAATAAAAAATATCACTTTTTTTTTGGCAGGGCGTGGGGGCTCATGCCTGTAATCTCAGCAGTTTGGGAGGCTGAAGCAGGCAGATCACTTTAGCTCAGGAGTTTGAGACAAGCCTGGGCAACATGGAGAAACCCCATATCTATAAGAAATACAAAAACTAGCTGGGCTTGGCAGTGCATGCCTGTAGTCCCTGTTACTCTGGAGGCTGAGGTAGGAAGATGGCTTGAGACTGGGAGGTGGAGGTTGCTGTGAGCTGAGATGGAGCCATTGCACTCCAGCATGGACAATAGAGCCAGACCTTGTCACAAACAACAAACAATCAGTACTTATTTTTCATATGAACTAGTGTGAGAAGTTAATGAAATATATATTTAGCATAGGGCTAGTAGTGCAGTATGAGCTCAATGTACTCTGTATCATTAATAATAACTGATTCATTCTGTCACTTATTGCAGAACAAATGTGTGCCAGACACCGTCTATATTCGTCTGCTTCACAAATTTAAAAAACCTTAATATTAACCCAATCTTTTCCTTCCTGCCCTTCTTCTGACCTACTCCTCCTAAATTCATTGTGTCAGTTAATGGCTCTTCTGTTCACCCAGTCTTCCACTCTCAGGTGACCTGACTCTTAACCTCTCCATCATATCCCACACCAAAATGCTCATGGAATCCAGGACATTCTCCCTCATCAAGGGCTCTTCACTTAGCCCACCACATTATTTCTAGCACCTATGGTACTTTAGGTTTTATTTCAGTCTTACTGGACAAAGACAACAGACTGAATGTTGTTTTTGCCACCAGTCTCTAAGTTCTCTAGTACCTGATCCTTTTTCTATACTGCTAACCTGATCACACCACTTTCTAATTTCCATGCTATGCTGGCTCATCTACAATACAACATAATCAAGAAGGCCTTTCTTAATCTAGTTCCAGGCTCTTTGCTTGCCACCTCTGCAGGACCCCCAACTTTTATCTACTGCCTCACCGTTTCTTGACAGATTATAGAAAATCCTTAAAGTTTTACCAGTTTTCTTACTATGTAAACCATATAATAAATTTGAAAAAAAAAATCAATGTGAATAAAAAGCTTAACAAGGAACACTGCATCCAGTTCTGTTTCTAAGGGTATTCCAACATCAGCAGTAGCTTTTTTTTTCTTTTTTTTCAGCATCATTACTGACATGCAAACCTTGCACTCAGATTTTGGTGTCTAGCAATATTTTCTGCTAGAAGAAAGCAAAGTTCTTTGAGAAACAGCAGATTCCAAGCCTTTGGGCAAGGAAGACTCAAACAGGCCTGAAATACCTTATTATTGCCAGATAGCAAGGCTACCTCTAAAGATGATAGGGACAGCGCTAAAATGAAAAAGAAAACAGTTCAAAGGAGATCACTGGGCAAGATCACTGATGTGGTATTTAGAACATCAATAGTAATAAAAGTTATCACAATAATTATACATTGTATATGACTTTGTGGAAGCCATGATTTCTTAATGATAAACAAGGTAGTTAATATAAAATATACAAAAATAAGTTGAAACACAAAACAAAATTGATTATAATTGGATGTTTGATTTATTTTAATTAGTTAAAAAGTATTAAAATATCTGCATATTTTGTTGCAGTATTTATCTACATACAAATATATGTATTTGTCTTTATGTGTTTGAGTAGCAATGGGCAAATACAGAAAACTACAAGTAAGCCAAAGAATTTCAGAAAGAGTAGAACGTTACAGAAAAGACTGATGAGCATTAATGGTCAAATATATCCACTAGGTAGAAAGAATGACAATGATGCATTCCAAAGTAGTAAATGCGTTCTCCTCTTTAGAAATTAAATTAGTTCAACCATTGTAGAAGACAGTATAGTGACTCCTCAAGGATCTAGAAATAGAAATACTATTTGACCCAGCAATCCCATTACTGAGTACATACCCAAAGGATTATAAGTGGTTCTACTGTAAAGACGCATGCACACGTATGTTTAGTGTGACACTGTTTACAATAGCAAAGACCTGGAACCAACCCAAATGCCCATCGATGATAGACTTGATAAAAAAAATGTGGCACATAGACACCATGGAATACTATGCAGCCACAAAAATAATGAGTTCACATCCTTTGCTAGGACACGGATGAATCTGGAAACCATCATTCTCAGCAAACTGATCCAAGAACAGAAAATCAAACACATGTTCTCACTTACAGGCGGGTGTTGAACAATGAGAACACATCGGCACAGGGAGGGGCACATCACACACTGGGGTCTGTTGGAGGGTGGGGAGGTTAAGGGAGGGATAACATTGGAAGAAATGCCTGATGTAGGTGACGGGGGGATGGAGGCAGCAAACCACCATGGCAAGTGTATACCTATGCAAGAATCCTGCAAAATCTGCACATGTACCCCAGAACTTAAAGTACAACGAAAAAAAAAAAAAAAAGGAAAATTGGATATCTGTTCAGATCAGATTGCACCTCCCAGGGGAAGAAACTTCTAGACAACTTGACAAATTATAATAAGATATTAATAAGGCATCTGTATGTTCCCAATAACGCTAATATACCAGAGCAATGCACAAGTATGACATGGTAGAGGATTATGTAATGTTGACCAAGCAAAGTAAAGGATGCACTATTTTGGGAGAAAATCCACCCAGTTTAAATCACTGGGTGTATGTGAAAAATATAGGCTTAAACAGTACTACCGAGATGAAACATGAAGTTCACATGAAGACCCAGTGAGATATTCAGGGACTCAAGTTTGAATCACCTTGGGAGAAGAAACCAGGCTCTGTGCCCCCACTAAAAATCAACTGAATGCCAACTCAATCCTCTAGACTCAGGAAATATGAAAATAAGCACTCTGATTAAATTTGAAAGATCTATGAAGAAGAAAGGAAATAATGAAGAGAGAAATTACCCCTATGGTATTGCTAGTTTATTACAGGTTTAAATATAATATTCCTTTAAGTATTGCAATTGTTATTTTTACATATGGCTTGTCTGTTTAAAGTATCTAAAGTAGCCAAAATAATCAGTCCTATTAAACTGTGACTGCAGTTTAAATTGTTTAAGGGAACTTTATGAACTAAGTTTCATAAACAATGTTTATAAAAGTTTAAGAAAATTTGACTTTCCAAATTATGTTTAGTAGAAATATTTAATAAACTGAGCATGAAACAAAGTGCAAATAAAAGTGTTTTCTTTCCATGTATATATCCCATCAGTTTCCAAGGAATATAATCAGTATCTTTATACATACATCTCTTTTCTTGTCTCTGAGACTTTGTGGACACCTGGTTACTCAACAATTGATGTACTTTCCTTCCATAATCACCTGGTAATTCATACTCATCAGATGTCATTCTACCTTTTACATTTCCCGCTGGTTTGTTTATTCATTGAACTATTTTTTTTTTTTTTTTGGTCATCTATTATTTGCAACAGGTACATCAGCAGGCTGGGAACACAGTTGTAGGCAAAGTAGACACACTCTCTACACACATTGTCCCCATTCCACGCCTGGCACTGGGCTTATAGTCTAGAAACAGGAGGCAGGTGTCTATGGTTAAAAAAAATATGTATAGGGGTGTGTATGTGTAAAAATATGTTATGATACAAAAATTGAATTGCTGAAACACAATAATTTTTCAGGTTGTTAACAAACACTGTGCTGTGATGGTATATTGAAGAGAAGAGGGATTGACTTAGAATCAGTTTGAAAGCTGTGTCTGAAGACATAAGCTGTGTGTGAGGAGATAAGCTGGGAAAAAGTTCATGTGCAAAGGCTTGAAAGGGGAAAAACCCTTTATGTGTTCTAGGAAGTGAAAGACCACTGGTGTGGCCACAGAAGGAGGAAAGTGGCTTGAGAAGAGATTAGAGAGCTAAGCAAGAAGCACATTAGATGGGGGCTTATAGAACATGGTAATGAGAGATCTTAAGTGCAAGTAGAAGCCATTGCTGTGTTTTAAAATAGGGGTAATATAGACTGAGATCATCTTTGAAATTATTACTCTGCTGGTAGTTTAGAAAAAAGAACAGTTAAAAGCTATTGCAATAATTCAGGAAGAGATAAAGGTGGCTTATACTAGGATGATGTCAGTGGAGATGAGATGCATAGAAAGATTTGAGATATATATTTACAGACGGAATATGAGAGGTGAGGGAAAAGGAAGAATACTGAGTGAATCTCAGGCTTCTGGTTTGAGCAATTGGTTAGATAACAGTGGTGCAATTTACAAGATAAAAAAAGCTGTGAGAAAAACAAATTTTCTTGGAGGGTGAAAATATATGAGAATCAAGTATTTCATTTTGGATAAGGTTACGTATGCTTAAGTTTTCTATGAGATACCCAAGTGGAGTCAATAAGGCAAATAGATATTCCTATAAGAAGCTCTGCAGAGAAGTCTGGGGATGGAGATAAAATTTCTAAGTCATTAGCGTAAAGAGAAAATGGGAATGGATCATCTGTAGGGAGCAACACGAAAGAGAGAAGGGAAGGGGTTTGCAAATCCTATCTTTAAGAATCTTAACATTTAGGGTAAGGTGAAGGTAAAGGGACCTGCTAAGGAAACTGAAAAGCAAGGTGAATTTGGCACAATGGAAGTTAAGTCAGGAAAATATATGAAAGCAGCAGCTATAAGAGTGTTAAGACAATTTAATGGAAAAAAATTGTCGTTTCAACAATTAGTACTTGGACAACTAACTGCATATCCACACGAAAAAGTTGGAAGTTGGAGCCCTACATTACACCATATACAACTCAAAATAGATCAAAGACCTAAATAGATAAGCTAAACTGTAACCTCTTAGAAGGAGAGCATAGGCATAAATCTTTATGACCTTAGTTTAAGCAACAGTTTCATAGATAAGACTCCTAAAGCAAAGGTAACAAAAGAAAAAAATAGATAAACTTCACCAAAATTTAAAAAGAAGGTTGTGCTTCCTCGTTTCCTTGGCATGTTGTTCATGTTTCTATGACTGATTTTAATATATTATATTGTAGTTATCAATTTAAGTGTGTTTTTAGCCAGTTAGACTTTTAATTTTAAAAATTTCCTTGACTGTGTCTCATCCCCACTTGCATACTTGATGTCAAGCAGAGTACAGGACCATATATCACATGCATTATGTGGCTGGTGCATGAAAGTAACAAATTTTTTAAAATAAGAAATAACAAGAGTGGAA